AAAAACCGACTTAAATTATTTAGAACATCAAAATATAGATCGAATTTCAATCAACATAATCAAATATTTACAATATATAATCAAAATAATTTTACAATATAGATTAATACAGTAGTAGTTCAATTACAACATATTAAAAAAAATATTACAATATAAATAAAAAAAATAAACTCAATATTCTTGATCTTGATTCTTCCATTTAAGATCTAACTCAAGATACCTGCACCAATTAAAGCAAAAAAAAGGATTAATATAATTAAGCTTCCCAAAAAATTAAACACAGAAAAAATTTGAAATCACAAAAAAAAATTGAAATCGCCAAAAAAATAAACCGAAAAAATACCCAGAAATCAAAAAACACAGATAAAAAATACCCAGAAATGGAAATAAATTGAAATCGAAAAAAAATATCAAAATTGAAATGGAAATAAATTGAAATCGAAAAAAACCCAGATAAAAAATATAAATTAAAAAAACCCAGAAATCGAAAATAATTGAACTCGAAAAAAAATTGAAATCGAAAAAATAAGAAAAAATATAATCCAGAAATCGAAAAATAAAAAATCAAAAACGAAAACAAAATATATTAAAATCGAATAAACAAAAATAAAAAAAAAATCAAAATTGAAATCGGAAAAAAAATAACCAAAAAATCGAAAAACAAAAAATCAAAATCGAAAACAAAATGTATTAAAATCGAATAAACAAGAAACAAAAATCAGAAAAAAAATAAAATAAAATAAAATAGAATTCGGTAACAAAATAACCTAGAAATCGAAAACAAAAGAATCGAATTAAAATCAAGAAATTATACCCTAACCTTGCTCATGCATGTGTTTGTGGTGGATTAAACCAAAATTTTTTTGATGAAACCCATAAAAAATTAAAGAGAAGAGATGGTGGCGGCGGCTTTGCGGTGTTGTTGTTGTTGTTGTTGTTGTTGTTGCGGAGATGTTGTTGTTGTTGTTGCGGAGATGTTGTTGTTGGTGTTGCGGAGATGTTGTTGTTGTTGTTGGTGTTGGTGTTGTTGTTGGGAATGAAGGAGAGCTAGAGGACAGAGAAGGGAGAGCAGAGGAGAAGGGAGAGGCGGAGTGAGAGGAGAGAGGATGTTGACTGTTTTAGGGTTAGGGGTTATATAAGAGGCCGGTTTTTTTTAAAAAAAATTTTAAAGGCCCGGTTCACAAAGGCACCGGTTCAAACCGGTGGCCTTTATGATTTTGGCACCGGTTTGAAGTGAACCGGTGCCTTTTACTCTGGTTCAGCTTCCCACCAATTTTGTAGGCCATTTTTGGCACCGGTTTGGTCTGAACCGGTGCCAATTAGGGGGTGCCTTTTTGATATTTTCTACTAGTGATTTCATTCTTATAGAGTATATAAACCGATTCTAGATTTAAACCATTAGATTAAGCTTTTGGTTGAGTTAGTCCTCTAACATGGTATCAAAGAGCCACCATGACACAAAGGTCACAAATCTCATCCACCCCTAACTTCTAAATGGAATATTTTGCACTAGGTTTGAAGGGGCTCATGCCGCATCGATCAATATTCCAACTCCAAAAGACTCTCATGTGAGGGGGTGTGATAGCTAGAGTATATAAACCGATCTTAGGCTTCAATCATCAATTTACACTTTTAGTTGAGTTGGTCCTCTAACACATTCTTTGATATCGAAAATTTGACGAACTAGAATTTATATATGAGGAAGCTAAAACTACTTGAAAAAGAGTCCGAAAAATAGTTTGATCCTCTTATTTTGATTTCTTGAACGAGTAGGTCAGTAGTTAATTGTTTTCGAATTGAAGAAACTTCGATCGCTAAACGATTGCGACAATAGTCGTTGTTAAATGCCAAACGTTGATGTGGTAGTTGCAAAATCAACCTTAAATGATCGTTAAGTGATTATTTTTTTGTGTTGTCCCAAAAATTTTCATTATCTGGCAATCGACTAAACAAATTCTATTAATGTGCGTAATCTTGCTTGAAAACACGATTTAAGTCAAAATGTAATTCACTCGTTCAAATGATAGAATATGCTGGTCGTTCAATGGTTTCACGATTAGGTCATGCATTTTTCTGTTCTTCGATAATTGATGACTTTGACATGTATGCGACGACTTTGGCATGACTTGTTGAGAAAATTTTACTTTAGTTGACGTGGATTTAAGTCTCTCTGTTAACATATATTTAAGGCAGAAAAAATTGTATTTCGAGCACTAGATTGTGGAATTTAGATTACGCACCTTTTTTTTTTTTTATTACAAAAATAGATTCAAAACAAAAGGAAAAAACACCCTAAAAATGACATGCTTTGAGCCAAAACCATACTGAAAATTACAAACTAATGGCATTATACTTGGTACAAATAAAAATATTTGGCCGGTTCACAACATTGCGGTGTGATAATACTTGTCCTTTTCACTGCCCTTAATTATTGGAGACAGGTTATCATGCGTGATTGCATATTTGCATGGTAATTTAGTTGACAATCTATAAAATAATCTTAAACTCCTTTCATTTTTTCTTGAATTTTCTTGTTTATATTTAATTCCTTTGTCAAAAAATGTTAGTTGCATAAACATAGACTAAAGACAATTACAAAGTACACTACAATTGTTTGTAAAACAGATTATATTGTCACATTAGTTAGGTTTTCATTTCGAAAAATGTACTTCGTATTACAAGAGTATCTAAAAAGGGTGGAAACGGGATGAAAGAGAACACCTATATTAAAATACAATATTTTATTGAATTTATAGTGAATTCTTAATTATGAGAGGTAGAATTAAAATAACATGACAATTAATTTTTGATATAGTTTTCTATACCTATATTTAAGCAATTAGGAGATACCTACATAGATACTTTTAGTACATAAATACACTATTTTGAGTGACTATCTGTAGTAATGTTTTGTATTATACAAACAAACAACAATAATCGCACAAAATAATTGACGTTGTTAATTATAATTTACAAATGAGATTAAATATAACTTTGCAGAATTTTATTTGAGGCAGGTTCTATTTGCATAAATATTTATGTCTTTATCAAATTAAAGTTTATTTAATTAGTTAATTAATCCTTTGAGAATCGAATCTTAAGATGATGAGGCATACTCTGACGGTCATAAGACACCGACCCGCATACCGTTTTTCACATAATTATAATCAATTACTCCATATTTTAATTTAAATGTAGTAAATAAGAAAATCATATGCACCAATGATATTAATTAAAAAAATGCATTTGTCGTATTAAGTAAATAAGTAATTATTCAATTTTGTCAACATATGGAGTTAAGAGTAGGGATTGGTTTCTCCCTTATATACCACTATTCTTGTTCCATTCACACTAAGAAAGCATATTTTTATTCACCCCTTTTAGGTTAGTAATAGGTAAGCACTTGTTTTGAGGATAAGTAGTTTGGCCTATTGAAAATTTTGTCACATATTTTACTCTCTTTTGACTTAAATGACAAGATATGCTTACAATCGCCTGAAAAAGAAAAAGTTTTAGATGTAATAATTTGGAAAAATGTAATCTAATAATCCCACCTTTAGTCGGTATTCCATAAACAATCTCACCTTTTGAAATTCCAAAAACAATCCCACATTTGACCCCCATCTTTCACTAACGATCCCTAACCGGTTGGATTGTTTTGATAACCGATTTTCTTAGATTATAAGACACGTGTCATATTTTAATAGGTTTAATCTTTTTTTTTAAAAAAAAAAAACCAAAACTCCCAGCCCTAGCCACCGCATCCCTGCCACTGATCCCCTCTCCATCCCCGCCACTGCATCCCCTCCCCATTCCCTGCCAACCCAACCCAAAAACCACTGTCGCGAATGTCAGCACCCGCAATGGCCACAACCACTGCCGCAACCCCTCTTTGTCCTTATCATGTTGTTTCTCTCTTCTCTTTGGTATGTTTCTCTCCTTTGAATTCATCAATTCCCTTTCAATTCGATTTTTCAGTTGATTGAAATCATAATTTGCGTTTAATTTCAAACCAAAAATCGAATTGAGAGATGATGGGTGGCGTTTTTCGAGGCCGTGGGTGGAATTTCGGGGTTGGGGTGGAATATTTCGGGGCTGAGGATTGAGTTCCAAGGCTGGGGTGGGTTTTTTCGGGGATGTGGGTGGAGTTTTCAAGGCTAGGGTTGGGTTTTGGGAGTGGTTATAGGATTTTCCGGCATGGTTGGAGGTTTCGTGGTGGTTTGGTGGGTGGGGGTGGCGGTAAGGAGTGAGTGTTGGGGTGGCCATGGTGGTTGGACTGGTGGATTGAGAAGAAAAGTAGTTAAAAAAGGAAAAAAAAAATTAACTTGTTTAACAGGTTGTAGGTCAATGGGATCGTTAGTGAAAGATGAGGGTCAAAGGTGGGATTGTTTCTGAAATTTTAAAAGGTGGGATTGTTCATGGAAGACAGGCTAAAGGTGTGATTATTAAATTACATTTTTCCTAATAATTTTAGACAAATTCGAGCACAAAGATCTAATAAGTTTCTATAGATAGGTCTAAGTAGTTCCTATAAATTTTAAACCTATGTCGTGTGTAGGGGAGGATAAAAAGTATATTTATGTTTGTAATAAAAAAAAAAAAAAAGAGAAACTCCATGAAGGACTCCATAGTCCAAATTTAAACAAAAAGAGGGCAGAGCAGGAAGATCTAATAAGTTTCTATACGTAGGTCTATGTATGTACTTTGTATTGAATTACTGACTGATTATTTAAAAAATATTAATGAATTATTTTATAATTTCTTACACAAAGAAAAATAAACAAATTCAATACAATGAAATTAATGTAGTTCACTAATAAAGTGGTAGCCATTCCACCAAGCAAAGTAAATGAAATTTTATTGAACTTGAGAGTTGAGAGTAAGGTTCGTAATATAGAATAAAAAAAGTTTATATTAACACGCCCAAATACATACAGAGTACTTTGCATTAGTTGCATAATCAGGAATTTTATCAACTTAAAACGGTAGCCCAAACAAAATAAACATCATCATGGGGATTGGGGCACTCAATAGATCCTAAAATATACACATCAATTTTTTTTTAATTTTTTTTTTATATAAATTACTTCCTCTATTCAATTGAGACAGTAACAACTCAACTTTTACGTCTGAATATGTATGGATAAGTTCAGTAAAACTCAGATAAATAAAACTTAGGTGAATAAAACACACTCGAAGTACAAGTATTATTTACGGAGTAATAAAATTCCCTTTATATGATTTACCCTTAGATAAAATTAGTAAGAAGCTTACTAAGCTATAAAATAAAATTTAAAAAGTTACTAGTAAGAAGCTTAATTCTAATTTTTAAGAATAAATAAGTTCTTCATTTCCCCACTAATCCTCTAATCCGCTTAGTATAAATAAGAACATAAATGAGCTTGCAAAAAAGGTCAACACACACTCTTCTCTCTCTTTCTCTCTGACTTTTTCCCACAAAAATCTAACCATGGATGATTCCAATTCTTCCACCCCATCATTACCACTAATCCATGATTTTAGCCTTGATTTTGTTGAAAATGACATTAATTTTAATCATGTTATTGAAATGTTAAGAGGATCTGAAACCTCTGATCCTTCTAGTATTTGTGTTAATCAAAACTTTGATCCCCTTTCTTTTGCTAGAAATAATGATGTTTCTGATAATTATAGCATGAATTTCTACCCACTTTCTCAAGATAACAATGTTTTTAATAATTTTAGTTCACCAACTATGTCTTGTACCAACAATACTATGCTTAATTCCTTGTCCGGGTTCGAAGATGGTAGAGGAGGTGAAGAGGAGGAGGAGGAGGAGGATGATGACGAAGATGATGATAACTTAGAGGCCGGAGAGCATTCTTCGGCCACTACGAAGAATACGTCGAAGAAGGGGAAGCTCGATCGATCGAGGACGTTGGTTTCGGAGAGGAAGAGGAGAGGAAGGATGAAGGAGAAGCTCTATGCCCTTCGTGCTTTGGTTCCTAATATCACAAAGGTATGTTTTTTAGGTGGTTAATTATTTTGTTTTATTAGTAAAATTTCGTATTAACTATGGAATAATTCACGATAATTAATTTACCGACGTTACTATCAAACTTATGTATTTTTTTATGTTGTTTTGATGTTACCGGTAATTTTAAAATTTTCACCTAATTTTTTTTATGCCTCATAAGTTATTGTATGACGTGTAAAAATGTATAATTAGAATAGTTGTATTATATATAGTATTTTTTTTTTTGAATAGGTATTATATATAGTATAGTTCCTATTTTTCTTATGCATGTTTGAGACTTTGATGGCAAATTACTCTCATAATTTGAGAGTTGCAATCTAACTACACCATTAATATATTATTTGGGTGTTTGGCCATTTATAATGTTTCTCTCTCTCTCTCTAAATATTGTACGGAGTAATAGAGTCATTGATTAAGTATGTAAAGGCTCAATTTAACGTACTAAAGTGTGCAAAAAAACCCTATTAGCCAAATTCTAGAAGTACATCTCTTCATACAATCGTACACAACTACACAAATAACACTACTACATTAGGCTTCCACAACTCCATCCCAAAATTAAGTTATCCGTTGTTTTATTTATTTATTTATTTTTAGAATGAAAAGAAGTATTGGTTGATAATACGAGGAAAAATATATCTTTTTTTACAAGCGGTCAAATGTTAAAAATTACAGAGTATTTATGTTTGTGTATTGATGATATATAATTTGTACGAGTACATATTTAACTAACACAAACACTATGTAATGTTATTCTTCATTGTGAGTGATGCATTTATTTATTTTTATTATTAGTTTTTTGGGAACAATACTTAATAAAGAAAATTAGGTAGTGCTATAAAGGGAAACCCTGCAAACATTTTGGAGCTACTTAAAAAAGGGAATATAACATACATAGAAGTTAAAATTTACACTAGTCAACTTAACCACTAAAGCAATTTTTTTAATCTTTTTTATTGGGCTTTGAAATTGAAAAATACCTATGAAAAAAATAAGGGAAACAAAGATGATAATTATGTTGGATTAAAGAGAGAAAAACCATGTTTTTTGATTGTTGATCAGTTCACTCCACAATGAGAGTGCAACGAGTTTGGATAGTGATGTAAACTGGAAACAAAAAGGAGCGCATATTACGATTTTATTCTCTACGTTACTTAATGAAAAAAAATACTTAAAACCCAAAATAGTTTAAAAAATTAGACTATTTTTATTACTGGGAATATAAAATTAGACTTAATATGATAATGTGTTCATTCATAATTTAATACAAAGTACAAGTATATAATACGAAGTATGATGTATTGATGGGCACATAATTTAATACGAAGTACAAGTATATAATATGTTTTTTTACAAAACAGCTACATATTCTTTCCGTATTAGATGTCTTTACCTTAAATTTCTCACAAAACTTTTTTCTAATGATAAAATAAATAAATAAATAAATAAACATTGAATTATAGGATAAATAAATAAAAAGAGACTAGGTTCGATTCATGGAATTTTTAAAAGCAGGCTAAGAGATACGCAGATTTGCTATTTTGAGTTTTGATACGGTTTCACATGCAATAACTTAGAATCTTGAGAAAAAACACCAAAGTTGTTGTATTAAACAAGACAAATGAGCATACTATAAAAGTGCATTACATTATTTAGACAAACAACACGGCATTTAAAATTATAATAACAAATCTTCTACCATCTACTATATCAAATTCCAATTAATTGTTGCATGTTTGATCTTAAATTCAATAAAATCTTAACCCAACATAATTAAATTTTATGTTGTGTTCCCAGATGATTTGGCACATTCATTAATGTCTCTTCGTAGTTGAAGGTTTTTAATTTGATTCATATACTAATAGCCATTTTTAAAGCACTATTATAGAGTATAATATCAAAATTTGTTTTATATTATGAAGGATTATATCAAGATACAATGATTAAATTATTATTATCTTTCAATTTTATTTACATCGTCAACTAATTAATATTTTGTTTTGTGCTAATTTTATGTTTATTGGAAATTAACCATAATTATTTGTTCTAGATGGACAAGGCATCCATAGTTGGCGACGCGGTGTTGTATGTGCAAGACTTGCAAATGCAATCAAAGAAGCTAAAATCTCAAATAGAAGGCCTTGAATCATCTTTGAAAGCTGCCGAGAGAAGCCAAGGTTATGCTGATACCCCTAAGAAAAATGCTTCTCTTGACAACTTTCTTCCGGTTTGTAAGATGATTGTGCAGGTACAATCTAAAGATCTAATCCAAATTCTTAAATATTAGCTCTTAATAGTTACGTTGATAGTGTTACATTGAAATCGTCGTAATATATATGACAACTAAATTCAAGTGACATTAGTACAATTTTTTAATTATTCATTCGATTATTAACCGTATTGAACTATTGAATGTAATGTAGATGGATGTGCTTCAAATTGAAGAAAGAGAATTTTATGTCAAGGTAGTGAGTAACAAAGGACAAGGTGTAGCAGCGTCCCTTTACAAGGCGCTTGATTCATTAACTACGTTTACAATTCGAAATTCAAGCTTAAGCACTCTATACGAGCAATTCGTACTCACATTTACCCTAAATGTAATTTCTTTGATTTATTTTACCTTTAATTTTCCATTTTAATTTTATACTTTGGTTTATGGAAATCATTGCAATCTAACACATGAACTTTGTTTGGAACAGGTTGCAAAATGTAGGGAGGAATTTAACTTGCCTAACATGAAAGTGTGGATAAGTGGGGCTTTTCTTAACCAAGGATTTGAGTTTCAATGTTTTTGATAATTGAGGTTATTTATTAGGTCAAGATGTTTAATTTTCACAACTTTTGTAATTTCTCTTTATGATTTATGTAATTCTAGTTATGTTAAAAGAAATTAGGTGCATGCATAACAGCACAAGGCATAAGACCATAAGGAATCAAGGACGTTTACTTTTGCATTATGGATATATGGTTTTCAATAATGCTAGATAATTAATCCATAGAACATTTCATATCCATAAAATAGCTTTTATTTTCTAGGTAAAGAAGTTGATGAAAAACTTCAATCAAACAGTGAATTCAAGTAAAAACAGAACATCTTCATTGATTGAATTAATCGATTCTACAATATGTAATCATTACATCAGAAAATCTAAGAATGAAGAAGATGATCTAACTAGGAGAAAATAGAGAGAAAAATAGAAAGAGAAAATGTCACACAAAACTTGTGTTTGATTACAATGAAAAGAAGCTTCTAAGACAACTATTTATATTATGTTATTACAAGACTTTTCATAACAAACTTTCTGCCACGTCAGCCCGTGAAATCAGGGAGTTAGTTACAACTAATTTCTTCCAGAAGCTTCTCATATTCTGCATAAGTTTCTTCAAAGACTGATTTGATGAAGGCAGCAAAAGCTGCTGCTGCTGTAGACGGCTTGCTAAGGTTGTCTAAGCTGGAAGTAGGACAATCACCAATACCCCCCTCAAGCTAGAGACTGGGTAATCAACCAAACCTAGCTTGGAACTAAGCTATAGATGTTGAAGAGAACATAGAGACTTAATGAGAAGATCAACAAGTTGATCATGACTAGGAACAAATCTGAGTTCAATAAGGCCTTCCATGACCTTTTCCCTAGTGAAATGACAATCAAGCTCTACGTGTTTAGTGCGTTCATGGAAAACATGATTTTTCCCAATATGAATAGCAGCTTGATTGTCACAATGCAACCTAACATGCTTCAAATTCTGCACCCCAAGTTCCTGCAATAATCTGACAAGCCAAGTGATTACAGAAGATGCTGCTGCCATGGCCCTGTATTCAACCTCAGAAGATGACTTGGAAATTGTGCCTTGTTTCTTGGATTTCCAAGAGATAGGAGACTGACCAAGGAGCATTACATAGCCAATGACTGATCTCCTAGTATTAGGACAAGAAGCTCAATTAGAGTCAGAATAGGCCTGAAGAGAAAGCCTATCAGTAGAATGGAGGAGAATGCCTTAACAAATAGACCCAGCAATGTATCTAAGGACATGCTGAAGAGCCTGAAAGTGAGGAACCCTAGGCTGTTGTAAGAACTGACTCATAGTCTTCACAGAAAATGCAATATCTGGTATAGTATGAGTAAGAAAGTTCAACTTTCCTACTAAACATCTATAGAATAGGGGATCAGCATAGAAGTCACCAAAATCACTCAATAGCTTCAGATCGCAGACTAGGTGGCAGGGGTGTCATGGCTAACTTAGATAAGTCCAAATTGCAATCCTCTCGGAGTTCCTTAGTGAACTTTCTTTGAGAAAGTATAATACCTTGACTGACATAGCTAACCTCAATTCCAAGAAAGAAATGAAGATGGCCAAGATCTTTTATACTAAAAACCTTATGAATATGAGTCTTCAGATCAATTATAACTGTTGTATCTGAACCAGTTAAGAGAATATCATCTACATAGAATGCAACAATAGTGATGTCCTGATCAATTTTCTTCAGAAAAAGAGAGTAATCATTATTTGACGGATAGAAACCATTGAGAAATAACTAAGAATACAATCTAGCAAACCATTGCCTTGAGGCCTGCTTCAAACCATAGAGAGACTTCTTGAGCTTGCAGACTAGGTTATCTGGATTGGAAACCCTTCAGGGACTGTCATATAGACTTCCTCATTCAAATTTCCATGTAAAAAGACATTATTGATGTCAAGTTGATGAACAAGCCAATGTTTGCTTGCTGCTAAAGGTTAAAGACACCTAATAGTGGCCATTTTGACAACAGGAGAGAAAGTTTCCTCAAAATCAATGCCAAACTTCTGTGTAAAACCCTTGGCAACTAGTCTGCCCTTGAATCTCTCAACAGAGCCATCAAATCTCAACTTAACTTTGAAAACCCATTTGCATCCAATGGCTTTCTTGGCCTTAGGTAATTTAACCAGTCCCCAAATGCCATTAGAAACCAAGGCATCTATCTCCTTTCTCATAGCATCAACCCAAGCTTCATTATGTGAAGCTTCCAGATAGCTACTAGGTTCAAAATACCGACTGAAATGAGATATAAAGGCTCTGAAAGGAGAAGGAATTTCATCATGTTTAACAATGTTACACAAATGTTGAGATTTTATAGCAATACCAACATAATCAGTCATCCAAAAGGGAGGCTTGTGAGGTCCATCTGACTTTCTAATAGGAATTGAAATAGGTGTATGAACAGGTGATTGAGTAGGCTGGTTAATCTATGTAGGATGGGAAAATTTATGGAGCTTGGTGAGAATTTTGTGGAGTTTGAGAGGAAGTTTGAGAAATGTCAAAATCTGAAGGAGATGGGATTACAGGGTCTGATTCAATAACTAAAGGTTCAGGAACAGGACAAAAATCATCCAAGGTGAAAGAAGTTAAGGCTGGGAGAAAAATGGGAGAAGGATTGGGGTTAGTGTGAGAAAAATGACGAGGAATATGCATCTCATGAAAAATTACATCCCTAGAGATGATAATTCTTTTGCTGGTCAGATCATAAAGCTTATAAGCCTTTTGATCTGGAGGATAACCAATAAGGATGCAAGGATTGGCTCTTGGATCAAATTTACTTCTATTGCTTGTCAAAGTAGAAGCATAACAAAGGCAACCAAATACCTTAAGATGATCCAAGTTAGGTTTAGAACCCAACAACCTCTCAAAAGGTGAAATAAACCTAATACTGCTTAGAGGTATCCTATTAATAAAGTGTGTAGCACAAAGAAGACATTCTCCCCAAAAAGAAGCTGGAACTCTAGATTGAAAATACAAAGCTCTAGCAGTTTCAAGCTAATGTCTATGCTTCCTTTCTACTACACCATTTTGCTGTGGTGTATCTACACAACTCCTTTGATGCACAATACCATGAGACAGATAAAACTCAAGCATATCCCCCTCACATAGATCCTTATCATTATCAGTCCTAATACATTTGATGCTAGTATTGAACTGATTTTGGACAGAAACACTAAAATTTTTTATGATTTTCACAACATCATTTTTGTGCTTCATTAAAAATGTCCAAATACGCCTTGAAAAGTCATCAACCACAGTAAAAAAAACCAACAAAACCATCATGAGTATTGACTTTATAAGGACCCCAAGTGTCAACATGAATCAATTCAAAACAACTCCTTGTAGTTTTTATACTACTCCTAGGAAAAGGTAACCTAGTTTGTCTAGCCTTAGCACAGACTTGACAGATGTTATCACAGTCAATTTTAGAAGAAAACACTTCATTGATATGATGCAATTTATTGAAAGGTATGTGACCTAACCTCAAATGCCAGAGTTTATCTTCTTATGAGCTTGCCAAGCAAATACTTCCAATGCTTGCAGACTTCTTTATTTGGCCGGTCCCTACTGAATTTGCAACTTTACAGAGCCCTGACTCCAACTTACCAAGAACTAGGGAAGTGTTCTTGGCAATATCATGAATGATACATTTATCGTGAGTGAATCTGATATAACATCCAAGGTCTCTGCACAACTTGTGTGTAGAGATGAGATTGAATTGAAAACTAGGCACATGTAATACATTTTTAGGTTCTATTCCATTTGGAACTTCACAACCCCAACATATTCAACTGTAACTTGTTTCCCATCAGCTGCTGTGATAATATTTGGAAACTTAGATTATTTGACATATGAATCAAATAAGTCAATTGAAGAGCACATGTGATCAGTTTCACCACTATCAACATTCCACTTGCTATTGAAACATGACAGAAGACAAGTACCTGCTTGTAGGGAATATTTCAAGCGTTATCCCTAGCTTGAACCCCACTGTGATCATACACTTAAGTACGGTGGTGTCTAAAGGGAAAGAAGATAGAGCAAAAGAGTCGCCAACAAGTTTTAGGAACTTGTAAACTGTTCATAGGGTGAAGGTTACACCCTTTAACGATCTAGGATATCGTCAACTCCAATAGGTCTAGAACCATGACTGGTAGTTCGGGGATGAAGGTACAAATCCAATAAAAGAGATTGAACCTGCCCTAATAATAGGCCTCTACTTTATTCTGATCGTATTCATGTGCGCTTTCTGACTAACATGCAATCAATAGGTTTACCCTAAACCTGTTTAATCTATGTTGGTTGAGTATTAATGCGCAAATAAACTATTATTGGCGATCACTTGAATTATAATCATATTAACCCTAAACAAGATTATTAGTTATCTTATAGAGCGTGATTACAAGTACCAATTCCCTTTAAACATGCATAAAATGTGTGATCAAGCAATAACAATAAATATCAATATCAAGCAACATTATAATAATCATAATAATAATAATCATAATAATAATAATCATAATCATAATAATAATAATCATAATAATAATAATCATAATAATAATAATCATAATAATAATAATCATAATCATGTTAAAAATAAAGCATAATAATAGCAAGATCCTAGGCATGATACTAACAAGATTAATAACAAACCCTAGCATGTCACTAAACAATAAAGATCAAATATATAGCCCTAACATGATACTAACATGAATATTAGGAAAGAAAATAGGAAGCATCGCAGGAATCATAATAAGCATATTTGATATTATAACCTTTTCCCTAAACATGATACTAGGAAGATCAAAACTCCCTAACATGACACTAGGAATCATAATAACAACCTAGAGATGATTTCTATATCATAATATCAATAAATCAATTAAAGCTCTTACTTGGATGCCTCGTATCTCTTTCTAATGACAAAATACATATGTTAGTAACTTCAAGGAAAATAATAAACAAAACAATTAAATTAAATAATTGAAATAAAGATTAGGGACCAAACCCTCAGAAATATCAAACCTTTCACGTCTAGGGCGAAGGCAACTTCGAATTTGGCTAGGTGTTGATAGATCTTGTGAATGCGGAATTTTGTATGCAAAAGGGTTGGTTTAGAAAAGTGAGAGAGAAGAGATCTTGAAAACTAGAGAGAATAAGAGA